TACCTGAGTTATCAACTCTACCGTGCGTGAATTACCATGCTATTTATACAAAAGATACCGAGGGGTGTTTTCAACAAATGTTTCCCCTAGTCAATGTTGTTATGGTGTTTGTACATAGTTATCAGGTCGGTGGTGTGCATATTACCATGCTATTTACACATAAGTGACCGGGTTATGTTTTCAACATCTTCCTTTTACCGGGCCAAAGTTACTCTGGTGTTTGTATCTAAGTTAGCAGGTCAGCAGTGCATATATTACAGTGTTATTTACATAGAAGTTGCCGGGGTATGTTCCAATAACTTTTTCTCCGAGTCAAACTTACCATGACGTTTGTACCTAGGTTATCAGGTGTCTGGTGCGTAAACTACCATGTTATTTACATGAAAGTTAGCGAGGTATGTTTCAATAACTATGTTTCATGGATCAAACTGTGTATGGATACAACTTAATTACAACAAAGAAAAAACCAGGTCACAAAAAACTGCTTTTGTTTTGCTGTCATGATTGCTAAAGGCTGATGTAACTAATGACCATTTATTAGACAGCTAAATAGGATCAGGTGAGTTGGTTGTCATTAGCACCCAAGAGTCTAGCAACCTTGGGTGACACACTTAAATTTTGTTGTTTCTTTTAACAGCGCTTGCGGTAAAAAAAAGCACAACTCACATTTGGAAACTTCACCATGCGAAGGAAAGAAATATTGTTAACACCATGATTCATCGCAATTAAAAGCGGTAATCCCACAAAAATCATGCTCCAACTAATGACGAAAGGAAAGAAATCAGGTGGATGCCCATGTTCCCACATGCAATCGTATTAAAGGGGTCGGTCCATGAAACCGTGATCCAATTAAAATGCTAACCATCCATGCAATTAATCATATGGATAACAGTCGCGCGATCACGATCTGACGGCTTTCGGGTCGTTCGGATCTGTCATAGAATTCCTGCCGGACGGATTTTAGCTTTCTCGTTCAATTAAAATACTATGGAAGGCAACATGATTAACAACTTCAAAAGGGAAATTAATTGTATAAAAATTGCATACAGACAACGCTGGATAAAATCGACTGAAGTGAAAAGATCAATATTATATCACCACTAATATTTATAGCAAGGTCGGTCTTTAAAGCTAATTTTATTAGATCTTGCAGGTATGTTGAATGGATCTTTAATATTATGCATGTGGAGAAAAAATGGTCCAACAAATTGAGGGTGTGCATTGATTTCGAATATTTAAATAGAGCTATACCCAAGAATACCCAAAAATGAGTATCCCATGCTATCCGATATGCATATTAATGATGTCTCTGGACATAAGGTCATTAGCTTTTTTTTTTGCTGGATAGGTCATTAGCTTTCTTGATGGTAATGCGGGGTTTGATCAATTTTTTATGGCCGAAGAGGACATGTCCAAAACGGCTTTTCGCTGCTCCAGTTTCGGCTTCTCGCTGCCCCAGTTCCGTTGGTTTATTTGAGTGTAGGGTTATTACCTTTGGATTAAAAAATAGTACGCGATAAGCACAAGACAGGAAACTGAATTTGGCACAAAGAACAACATGTTGAGTTAGCCGTTGGCACTTTGCCTTGCGTTGGAAGGGATATGGCAGCCCACGCACTAGGCCTCGAAGCATGGACCCTCCAAATGCTCATGCCCACACGCGCTTTACTTCTAAAATAATTGCAGAAGGAGCAAAGATTGCGTGGTGTCGCACATAAACAACCTGTCTCGCGGCACGGCGTGGCGTGCACCAAACAGGGCGAGCGATTTGCTCCTACGCAATCCTAGGACCCAGTTGCCTTGCCCCAGCATTCATTCAGATAACGCAAGCACCAACATCGTGTTGCTCTGCCCCACAGTTCCACAACGCAACTCCCCGAAATTGTGGTACCAACACATCTGAAATCTGAAATCTGGAACTGGTGCCAACCAAGGGGCTGTTTGGAATCCCTCCGCTCTGAAACTCTGCTGTGGAGCGGAGCGGCATGCAGTTACATTTCGGCGAGCGGCTAACGGAGGGTTGCCGAACACCAGCACCAGCCTATTATGCAGTTCAGTTGAAGTACGCACACCCCATAGTGGCTTTGTGGCTACAGGCAATGCTAACCAAGTAAGAAACTATATTATGCATATCATGGTTTGAAAACAAAGCTACCCAAGTAAAAAGAACAAAATTATGCAAATCTCCGTGATCATATCCTAGCAGTACCCTGACAACAGACATCCTACCAAGAACAAGTCGCCGGAGTTTTTAGGCATAAGATTAACCTTCTATGAGGCAAAACTATTTATGCCGCTATCAGTTTGCAACTTGCTTTATCGGTATGGTTAAATATGGCTAAGATTATCCTTCTACCATAAGATAAACTATTTATGCCGCTTTCAGTTTGCCACTTGAGTGATCAGTACATAATGTTTAATATGGCTAAACATAGATACTTCACCAAGAAAAAGAAAAAAGCAAGCGACCAGCACCAGGAGTTTCAGGCTACATTTATGACGACAGGAAACCCTACCATCACACCTTAATTTCTGCTAGCAGGGTTAGATTACCATACAGCCCCACAGCCGCTTATTTAAGGGACGAAGACAACAATTATTTCAGCTCTGGTACCAACCATAAACCTAAGAACACAGTTCAAGTGTTCAACTGTAGGTGGAGGAATTAAACTGATAATATGCTCAACAATGCTTCCTCTCAGCAAGCAAATTAATGCCAAGGAAGGGTCCCCCCAATTCCATGACATAATGCTAAGTACCCTGAAGATAATAATGCAATCCTACCTAGATTGTATCGAATGCATGGTTCTCATACCTGAATACATGACAATGCAACTTAAGTTAAGTTACCGCACCTAGTGACAAAACAAACCATATACAACTGATAATAGTGTTACCTTTATAACATGTAAAAGAATCTTAGCAATACGTTGTCAGGTGAAAACTGATCAGGCAAATATTCACCTAACCATGCAACAAACCGAAGCATAATCACAAGATATTAAAAGCTAAAGGAGGCAACTATTGAATATAGTTTACAGTAAGCTCATTATATATAGATGATAACCACCAGATGATACCCACCGAAATGATACCAATGTGCAGTACATTTTTACCTAGGCTACTCGACCAAATAAATACGGAATGAGCGAGAGAGGAAGCAAGGCCGCCTTTCAGAACAAAAACGCAAAAATAAATAACAGGGTAATATAAGTGTTCCTTCTAACCCTCCAGAAACAGGTTCAAATGCAAGTATTTCCTAGATCAACAAATTGCCTTGGTTTTCTCCTCAGATCCAACTAAAGTTAAAAAGATAAACCAGAACCGGCATCCACCTCCTTGAAAGCAACTGTAGACCAAACTATAGTCTTTGCACTTTGCACCAGATTCCCTGTCCAGCACACATCATAATTAGGATAAGGAAGATGCATAGTGAGCAAACAATAACAATTTCGAGTACTCTCATGTTTCTATCTATGAAAAATTACTTATTCTGACAGAAAGCATGTAGATCTATATGATAGTCCCCACCATAAAAAGTAGAACGACAGCAACTTAATTGTGGAAAAGCATCCCCATTGATCTTTACAATTTTACTACTTCAACAAAGAACACAAGTGGGCAAAGTACATCGCGATTTTCATATTGCCAATGAATCATACATTTCTCCAATTTTATTCCTCTACCATGGCAAGTCAAGAAAAATAACAAGCCTATTGTGCATGCAGTTGAAAAAGAAAAATCACACAAATGGATTTTAGAACCAACCAATGTGGGCATGCCCGGATCCGATCTGGAGCTCTATGCCTGGTTCTCGCTCTTGCGATCACTGTGGCTATCGCGCTCCTGCAACAGGGAGCCGGCCTCCTCGTCGGCCTGCGCGGACTTCTTCTGCGCCTCCTTGGCCTTGAGCGCCTGCAGCTTGATATGGTTGTAGTAGCCAACCCCTAAGAAGGCGATGCCGTAGCCGAAGAGGTTGATGGGGGTGACCGTGTCCCGGATCACGGACCAGGAGAAGGCAATCAACAGCCAGTCCTTGACCACTCCCGCAACATTCATGGTGAGCGCGGAGGTCTTGCCAACGAGCAGGAACACCGCAAGGTTGAGCGCAAAGGCGCAGAGCGAGTTTGTGCCGAAGATGAAGAAGTCGGGCTGGAAGGTGCCGACGGCGCGCAGCCTGGGCAGCTCGACGAAGATCCAGGGCACGAGCAGGAAGCAGAGGCAGCAGGGCGCGACGTAGTAGAGCGAGGTGATGGGGTTGAGCGAGATGCCCTTGGAGGTGAGCAGGATCTGGATGAGCACGAGGCGGGTGGCCTCGAAGGCGACGGCGGCGAGCTGGAGCGCGACGCCACGGAGGTCGAACCTGGCCTCGCCGTAGGCGGCGATGGCGACGCCGAAGGAGATGGAGAGCATGTTGAGCATGGAGGATGACCTGAAGGTCTCCTTCTTGAAGAGGACGCCGATGGAGTAGACGGCGACGGGCATGAGCGCCTTGAGCATCTGGATGAAGGAGACGGAGAGGTAGATGTATGCCGAGTTGGAGAACCAGAGCGACATGGCGTAGAGCGCGCCGATGGGCACGACGGAGGAGGTGTAGAGCTGCGGCGTCATGGGCGGGGAGGAGGGCGGCTCAACGACCCGCAGGACGCGGACGAGCCCCACGGCGAGCGAGGAGCAGAAGCTCATGTGCACCATGGTGAGCGAGATGGGGAAGGGCCAGTTGTACATCTTGGGGTCGAGGATGTACTTGTTGTAGACGATGACGGCGAAGGAGAGGAAGATCCACACCGCCACGTAGCAGTAGGACAGCAGCACCTTCCGCATCACCGACTCCGACAAGCCGCCGGTGCCGGCCATGGCTCCCCCCTGCGCCGCCGCCGGGCGGATCTGGATCCGGGTGGGTGGTGGCCGGGTGCGTGCGCGCCGCGGTGGGGAGGGGTGGACTTGGACTCGGGCGGGGGGGCAGGAGGGGGAGCGGAGGCGGATCTGAGGATTTGGGGCTGGGGACACGGGCTGGGGGCTGGCGGTGGGGATGGGTTAAGGTTGCGGGGGGGTTTAGGTGAGGCGAGGGCGAGGGGATGGGTGCTTGGACTGGGCGCGCTGGCCACGTGGAGAATACAATAGCTTTCCTTTTCTTTCCTTCTTTCCGCCGGGGAGCTCCCGCTTTGACTCGTCTTTGCTCCGGCTGGATTCCCACCTCTCTTTTTTCTTCTCTTTTCGGGCCGGTAAATCCGGCCGCTGTGACGTTGACGTGATGGTTTAAAAAGTGCCTGCGTTTTGTACTGTCATGGGTAACTCCATGTGTGTGTGGCGCGTTTCTACGCCTCCAACACCTACCGTTGAGTGACACGGTCAATGAGCCGCATGTGTTAGGATAGATCATAGATCGCCTAGATGTATTAGTAGTAAAAAAGAATCAGATAGTTGGTGTCATGGAGTGGCAATGGCATGGTTCTTACATCGATTTTCACTATCTCGTGGCACGAAGCTTCATCCTGTTGCCACGCAAAAACTGAAGAAAAAAATTAAGCTAGTTGACCGACTTAAGAGCATACCTGGCCAGACGGGCCGGCCCGGCACGGCACGGCACGGCACGGCCTGTGCTAATCGTGCCTGGCCCGGCACGGCCCGCCGTGGCACGTTTAATAGCCGGGCCGTGCCGGGCCGGCCCACGGGCGCAGCTCCTTGGCCCAGGCACGGCCTGATTAGTAAACGGGCTGGCCCGATGGTACGTTTAGCACGCTGGGCTGCATATTTTCACCCTGTTGGGCTGGTTTTTAGGCCTATTGGGCTATATTTTACGTATACATCTATAAAAAAATCTGAAATATATATAAAAAATTAAACGGGTCGTGTCGTGCCAGCCCGCATGCCCAGGCTCCTGGCCCAGACACGGCCCAAGGCGTGCCGCGTGCCAGGCACGGCCCGTTTAGCCCGTGCCGTGCCTGGCCCATGACGGGCCGTGCCGGCGTGCTTGCGGGCTGGCCTGTTTGGCCCGGCCCATTTGGCCAGCTATACTTAAGAGCTTGCCTCACGATTTGCGCCTTGGCAGTAAAGTTTATCTCTAGTGGTTCGGCCAGGTTGTCTTTGTGGCAAAACTGCCCTTATCAATTTCCAGACAAAAATGGAAAGATTTTTAAATTTTAGTATGTAATTTGTTGATGGGGATGCTATTTTTGTTGGTAACTGAATGTTAAAATTAACGCCGGATATTTTGTTACTATTAATTGGTTGCTTGATCCTATGACAGGGTAGCTCGAAAATTAACCTTGTCAATTTCAAACGAAAGGAAAGGATTCTCATGTGCTAAATTTAAGGTGCTACTACACATCGGCCAGCGGATCTTTTTAAAAGATCCGCCGCCTTGTGAATCGTCAGATCTAGCAAAATCGACCGGCTAGACGTCTTCCCTTACTTTGCAACTGAGGTATTGTTGCAGAAACATTTCTAAGAGAGTCTGTGCTGTGAATTTTTTTTTATTTTTTTGCAACATAGGTTGTGTTGCGGGATTTATATTTTTTTGCAAAATAGGTCGTGTTGCGGATTTTTTTCCCTTTCTGTGTTCACTTTTTTGCAACAGAGATATTGTTGCAGAAAAACTTTGCAACTGAGGTGATGTTGCATTTTTTTTTCTTTGTCTTCACCTTCATATGGTGTTACGAAATAAATTTTTGCAACATAACCGATGTTGCAGAAATACAAATTGAATGTTGCGAAAAATGCCATTGTCGTTCGCCATGAGCTCCTGCCGGATGGCAACGAGGGGGAGCGGAGCCACCCGTCCCCGCCATCATACCGCTGCTGGCGTGCGCCCGCAGGGAGGAGAGGAACCGCCTGTCCCCGCCATCGCTGCCACCAACCGCAAGGCCATCCAGTCCCGAGCGCTACCAAACCTTGTCGTCGATCGCGTGGGCCAGCTAGCTCACATGCTCCCCCATGAGCGCTTGCTGTTGAAGTCACTAGTTGTTGCATGCATCTACCTCCATGGGTGCTCTTCATCCTAGGCATGCGTGATGGAGGATGCTGAATGGGTTGGGGAAGGAGAGAAGATGTAAGGTAAAAGAGATTTGGATGAGAGTCCTTGAGGAGAAGATAAGATAGCGGTGTGTGGGATGACTGGGACACACATCGTCCGTAGGAGACGACAGATGCACTGAAAAATCAGCCGTTTGAAGGGAATATTTTCCCTAAATTTAACTTTATCTATTGGCAGCGAAAATAAAAGGAACTTAAAACTTCACCAAGTTGTTCATTTGCTATTTATTTTTGGAAATGACTGCACCAAAATAGAGTTGAATGCTTGATTGCTATTAATTACCCTCTCCTATGCATGATCGGTTACCCTAGGAAGGTGTTTGGTTCGCTGATTTCATCCCATAAATTGATAACGCTACGATCCAAAAACGTTATAATTGTTTCATTTCATAGGTGTGTGATCAGTTGTCGCGTAATCAGATACGCTGCTATTCATTGCTGGTTACACCCAAATCAGCCATAACAAAATTGATGTCGTCGTAGCACCTTCCCAATCAATCCCTCCTCCAGTGGAGGAGAATAGCCTCACGCAACAAGATTCTTCAACATGAGCCAAGATCAACTTGGTGTTGGTTTTCAAGAAGAGGGTGGATTTGGCTCCTAAGTAGGCGACAAATCCTGTCGGCGAGGAGGTTGCAAGGCCCACGAGGAGATGATGGCTCTTGGGGTGGAGTAAGCCAACAAGACGGCGACAAAGTGCATAGCTGACGTGAAGGATCAGATCTGAATTGTGAGCACCCAAGTGTTGTTTTCCCTGATCTTGGTTCGATCTTTTGATTGTTCTGGATTTGGGGGTTTTAGGTATTCCTATACCTACAAAGAATTGCCATCACATGCTCCTTTTTTTGAAATGTAATTCTAGTGCTTGCAAGTTGCCATGTTTAGTTGATGTTCTTGGGGTCAGCAATGAGACTGCATTTGCATAATTTTTACATGCAGGAAACAAACAACTTTCACTTTTCCACGTTCCATCGCCGGCACCAGCACGGTATGTTTACGTTGTCGTTTTGCGTTACCCTTTTCCTCAACCAAATATCTTCTAATGTTTAATGGAAAACGACAATACAATAAAATTGATTTCTTTTTTGTTGTTACTCCGACCTCCTTTTTTGAACTAATTGCTTTTCATTAGGCTACATACATTTTATCATCAACACAATTATACTCTTTCATGGTTGTCACATAAACATGCCTCCGCGCATGCTGGTATATTGGGCACTACCGAGAAATCGATGTCACGACACATAGCGTGCCGGTAGCACAACAAATTGTGGGGGTGCAAGACCTCTATGTGTTGTGTGATACTCCGGTCCATGAATCTAACTACACAAAATTCATATTTATGCACACAGTCGATGCTAACAAGCTTAAAATTAGCCAGCGATACATATAAAATTATGTCGATATGACGTGGAAGAATAACTTTATTATACTTGCTTTGTATATTTTTTATACTAATGTATCATCTTGCTTCTTGCTACTCTATAACACATTATATATTTTTATACTAATGCATCATCTTGCTACTCTATAATCATATTAGGGCATCATCAAGGCGGACCCGCAAACCTCCCGCAATAGTCCGCCCGCGATGTCCAGTCAGCGGAAGTCATCTAACGCGGTCATGTATCAGTCTGCGGGGCGGTCCGGACGCGTTGCGAAGACAAAGTGGGAGGGGGGCTGCGAGAGTCCGGACACCAGAAACGTAGGACTCCGACACCCTCGGCCCACCTAATCCCCCCTCCCAGTCCCAGTTCCTTCCACTCCGCCCTTTCTCCTTTGCTTTGCATGCATGCGCACCCTCCACCTCCACCGTTGTTGTTGTTCATCTCCAGCTCTCACAGAGGCATTGTCGGACGTCCGCAACCAGCACCAACGCCCCCACTCAGTGGAGATGTCCATCTTAGAGCCGTTTATACCTAGGTACACTCCGTCGTGGCCCTGACGACAACCTACATGGTGGACACCACGCCCAGTGTTCGGTCAAATGTCATTGAGCTTATTTTCATATGTTATGTCATTTTAGAGTACGGAGGATGGTGAATTGATGTCTACTACACAACATTCTTCTTGTAGATGTTGTTGGGCCTCCAAGTGCAGAGGTTTGTAAGACAGTAGCAAATTTCCCTCAAGTGGATGACCTAAGGTTTATCAATCCGTGGGAGGCGTAGGATGAAGATGGTCTCTCTTAAATAACCCTGCAACCAAATAACAAAGAGTCTCTTGTGTTCCCAACACACCCAATACAATGGTAAATTGTATAGGTGCACTAGTTCGGCGAAGAGATGGTGATACAAGTGCAATATGGATGGTAGATGTAGGTTTTTGTAATCTGAAATTATAAAAACAGCAAGGTAGCAAGTAACAAAAGTGAGCGAAAACGGTATTGCAATGCTTCGAAACAAGGCCCAGGGTTCATACTTTCACTAGTGCAAGTTCTCTCAATAATGATAACATAATTAGATCGTATAACAATCCCTCTATGGGCAACGAAGAGTCACTCTCCAAAGTCACTAATAGCGGAGAACAAACAAAGAGATTATTGTAGGGTACGAAACCACCTCAAAGAACTTTCT